TCTCTCTCTCTCTCTCTCTCTCTCTCTCTCTCTCTCTCTCTCTCTCTCTCTCTCTCTCTCTCTCGTGTGCCAGGTACTAACCTGTGAAGATGGCGCTGTGCTGCAGGTACCTCGAAGACGAAGCTGGAGCTATGGCGCTGCAGGTAAGTCTCGCTGGCCTCCACCCAATCTCTCTCTCTCTCCAGTGCTACTCTAGCTCCTACTAGCGCCCAGCGCTGAAGGCTACTGCTAACGCTACTACTACTACTGCAGCGCTCCTCCAGAGTGCTGCTGCCAAATCCTGAAGACTACCTCCTGCCTCCTGAACTGCACGTGAAGTGCCTGGGAAGTCCCTATGAACTACCTGCAGCCTGCAGGGCAGGCCAGTCTTATATAGTGCTGGCCCGTCCAGGAGGCTGCTCTTGCCAATGCCAAAACGTGCCAGACCCTGGCGTCGAAGTTCAAACAAAGGTTGTCTTGAAAACAGGCCCAGAATGGCCTGTGCTAAAACCCTGGTCTGGTGCCTAAGTTTCAGGGCAGGTCGATCTTATGAGGGCCTGAAAATGGCCCTCCGTTTCAGGCTGAAAAGACTCAGGGCGTGGAGGGCCCTGTTTTAGTCTGAAATGACACAGGGCCTGTAGGCCCTTGTTTTCAGGCTTTCAGGCTGAAACGACACAGGGCCTGTAGGCCCTTGTTTTCAGGCTTTCAGGCTGAAACGACACAGGGCCTGTAGGCCCTTGTTTTCAGGCTTTCAGGCTAAAACGACCCAAGGCCTGAAAATGGCCCTCGTTTGCTTGCGCAACATGTTGCAGGCGCAACATGTAACAGCCCCCCCTCCTTATGAAGTCAAGCCGGGTCGAGGGCGAAGCTGTCGATCTGAAGGTGGAACCTGGACGCGGGTGTGGTGTGAAGCCGAAGATACCAGCTTGCCTTGCATCTTGCGTTCGTAGCATGCGAGAACATCTGGAGCTGTTGCTTGGAGTTCCGCACGGGTCAACCAACGGTCAGCTTTGTGGGTGCAATACGCAAAGTGTACCAAGTATTCGGTCGGTCTGTTGCCGTAGCGTCGCTGGGAGATGATGTCGCCGACCTCTTGAAAACCGTCCATAGAGGGTCGGTCTTGCGATCGTCGCCGGGGAAAATCGTCATGTTCCGCTGGCGTGTAAAGAACCAACTTGGAGCAATGAAAGATCGGGTAGATGGGCAAGTGGGCGGGCACCTGAATGATGAAGGAAGGTCCTTCGGGGGCATCCCCAGCGGGTGCCACGATCGGCCAGGGCCCATCGGTTTTGGGAGGAGCTTGCGAGAGATATCTTGTTCGAGGCTCAACTCTGCGGCGGAAACCCAAACGAGGTCGCCGGCGTGGAATGGACAAGGAAGACATTGGCGATTGGCCAATTGGCTCATGTGTTGCTGCGTCTTAGCCATCTGGTCGCGTGCCTTGACAAGTTGCTCTTGCATCCGATGCAAGAAAAGAAGGTGGTCGTCGCTCTCGGCCGCTCGTGGAATGATTGTGTCCAACGGAGAAGTGACCGACGAGCCGTGCTCGAACTCGAAGGGCGACATCCCGATAGCCGGGTGGATGGACGAGTTGTATGCTAACTCGACATCCGGCAGCCGCTCAACCCAATCCTTTTGGTCGGGACGGATGAGAGTGCAAAGGAGAACCTGTGCAGTCTGATGCCCCCTCTCTGTTTGGCCATCGGTTTGGGGGTGGCGAGTCGAACTCTTCTTGAGAGATGAGCCCCATCATTTGATGAGTGCCAACCAAAAATCGGACATGAACCGAGTGTCGCGGTTGCAGACGATTTCCTTGGGGTAACCATTGGTTCGAATCCAACCGGCGTAAAGAACCTCGGCCAACTCCGGTGCCATGGCATGATAGTGGCAAGGCAAAAACATGGCGAACTTGGTGAGTCGGTCGACCACTGTGAGAATCCCATCCACATCGGTCTTGTGCTTGGGGAACGGGTCGGTAATGTCCATGGCAATCGCTTCCCTCCGGCGCAACGGGACTGGTAATGGTCGCAACTCGCCATACGAACAATGGTTGCGGGATTTGCAGCGTCGGCAAACCTCGCATGACTCGCAATAGCGTGTGACGCTCCCGAGAAGGCCGGGCCACCAAAAGCGCTCGCGAAGTCGGCCAATCGTTCGATTGATTCCAAAGTGTCCGGTGGAGGGAGCATCGTGGAACTCACCAAGAAGCCGTGTACGCAAGTGAGAGTCACTCGGTACGCAAAGAAGGTCCTTCCCCCGCGTGTGGACAAGCAAGTACCCCTCTTGGAAACGGTAGTGAGAAGGCGCCGGATTAGGAGAGGAGCAATTGGCGTACTTGTTGCAAAACTCGGGGCCGGCTTGGTAGCCGCGGATGACGCTGTCCCGCAGGTCGTCGTCGATCTCGAAGGTCGAATAGACTGCGGTACAATGATCCGAACACCGTGAAAGAGCATCCGCGAAACGGTTAGACTTCCCCGGAATGTGATCAGGATAGAAGTCGAAAGAAGTCGAATTGGTCGATGAAAGTCATCCAACGGGCGATCGTGCTATTGACGGTGTCTTGGGTCTTGTAGAAGACCAACAAATTGTTGTCCATTACCCATCAGAATTGACTTCGACCAAGGAGGAAGTGTTGCCACCGCTTGAGCGCGTGGACGAAGGCTAGGAGCTCCTTCTTGCGTGCATCATCAATGGACTGTACGACGGATACTTTCTTGTTGAAGTACTCGACCGGGTGCCAGTCCATGCCATTGTGTTGTTCGAGGGCGGCACCAATGCCATAGCCGGACGCATCCGTAGTGACGCGCGTTGGCAATAGCGGGTCGTAGATTCGCAAGACCTCCGCGGACAATAATGCGGCTTTGAGAGCCAAGAATGATTCCCGCGCATCCTTCCCGAAGTCGAATGGTCGATCCTCGCATTGAAGCTTGGTCAAGTGGGCCGTGATCTTCGAGTATCCCTTGATAAAACGTTGGTAGTCGCCGGCAAGGCCAAACAAACGGACATCCGTGACGTTCCGCGGCACCGACCACTCTTGGATGGCATGAATCTTGTCTGACAACGGACTGATGCCCTTCGGTGTGACAAAATGGCCCAAGTATTCCAACTCTTGCCAAACAAATTCACACTTATCGCGGTTGGCTTTGTACTTGGCGCGACGGAGCGTCTCCAACACTCGTCGAAGGTGCTCAAGATGATTCTCCAATGTCCGGCTATAGACGAGAATGTCGTCTAAGTAGACCAGCACGAACCGGTCCAACAGCGAACGAAACTCGTTGGTCATTGCCGCTTGAAAGGTCATCGGGGCATTGGTGAGGCCAAAAGGCATGACCACCCACTCAAAATGCCCGTACCGTGTCTTGAACGTGGATTTATAGTGATCGTTCGGCCGGATCGAAATCTGATGGTATCCTGATTTCAGATCCAACTTAGAAAAGTACTTCGCACCACCCAATTGCTCAAGGAGATCGTCAATACGAGGAAGAGGCCCCGCATTCTTGACGGTTTGCGCGTTGAGCTTGCGGTAGTCGATGCACAATCGTAGATCCTTGTTATTCTTCTATATGAAGAGAATTGGCGCTCCATATGGGGAGTTACTAGGGCGGATCAATCCTTTGTCCAACAAGTCATCGAGTTGCGCGCGGAGGACCGTAAGCTCCTCCTCGCTCATGCGGTAAATGCAACATTTCGGCGGCACGGCACCGGCCTCAAGAATGATCTCGTGAGAGATCAGCCGATCCGGCACCACACCGGTAGATGAGTCGAAGATGTCGGTGAACTCGTCAAGCAACCACACCACACGGGGGTCCGACGACAAGTCCGTGGGGGAAGAATCGGCTACCGCGATGGTCCATAGGAAGCATAGCCCTATTTCGTCGGGCTGCTCGTAAGCGCAAGTAGCCCGGAATGACTTGGTTGTCACCACTTGGCACCGGATCGAAGGGTGCGGAAGAGGAATAGTACACGACACTTCGGCGTCGAAGGCGTCCCGAACGGTAAGAGTCTGCCGGTGGAAGTTGACCGTGTGATCCGCACTTGCAAGCAAAGGCATTCCCAAAATAATGTCGAAGTCCATATCCAAAATGTTGAACGTCACCGGTTCGCATGCATGAGGTGCGAAATACACCGGTATGGCCTCGATGTAGCGGTCGATAAGTTGCTGCGTCCTTCCGTCCGCCAACTTGATTGCCACCGGGTTTGCCTTCCTCCGAACTTGTGCGCCAAGGCCAGTACTTTGCATAAAGGTTTGGCTCATGAAATTGCGAGACGCGCCGCTATCCAGCAAAGCGCTGCAGGACGCTTGCCCAACTTGGATGCGGACATAGAGGAGCGGTGCGCTGTTGTCATCGTACCGCTGCTTGCGAAACTCGCGGGCCACCTTGGTAGCATACGCAAGGATGTCTCCACCGCAGCTTCGTCCTCCATCGGCGAAGTTGGTGGTGCATAGAAGGATAGATACGTGTGAAGATTAGCGCATAATGTTGCGCATTGCGTTCCCGGCAAACGGCCCTTGGTCGGGAGAGGAAGCCATGCGAAATCCTCGGACTTGAGCGGGTCCAATACCTCTATATTGAACTCGCGCGCCGAATCCCGTGAAGAACCACTTGAAGACAATAAGTTGCCGCTGCCGGACGGTGAAGATGTCGCACACACGTCTTGTCCTTGAGCATGAGTACCCAGCGTAGGAACGAGCCGGACAACATAGTCCTCATAAGAATATAGAAGAGGAGGACTATCAACTTCCTCATGTGCCTTGGAACGAAGGGCGGTCACCCGCAAAGCGACGGGTTCCGAAGGCGTCGAGAGTGTCGTCGATTCACTCCCGACTGTGCTCAGTTTCCCGATTTGCCTTTGCCTTTCGACGGGCCGCCCACTGTGTCGTGGAGATCGTTGTTACACCACAGAAAATAGTGGAATCTCGTGCGTTGCTTGCATGCTTGCTCCGAGAGGCCGTAGTGGGTCCATGGGGATGGAGCTGCCGCGCCGGGCCCGGGGTTTGATGTGGTGTTTGTCTTCGGCTTGCCGCGTCCTCAGTCTCTGCCGGGGCGGCCACCATCCCGGGCGGCTGCGAGTCTGTCCCCTTCATTGGCAGACATGACCTCGCTAGATTGGTCGGTTGGTGTTGCTGCCGTGACCACGGTCATTTCGGCCGATGCTGATCTCTGCTCAGGCCTGCCGCAGACGAACGGTTGAGGTTCTTAGCCTCCTTGTTCGTGACAATGATCTGCGCGGCCTTGTCAAAGAGCTCCGCCGTTGTCGTCAGGGTCTCCTCAACGTGAGTTAAGGCGTTGCCCAACGCCGGACACGACCTCGAGATGAAGTAGTGTTTGACGGCCTTGAAGTCCATCTGAATGTCTGGGACAGATGTCAAGTGTTGGTACTCTGCAATCCAGTCAACACTCAGCAGCATGCCTTGTTCGAAGGTCATCAATTTGTCCATTTGTGTGAATACATTGAGTGTTCCTGGATTTGTTCTGCAACGTGAGCTGTTCCACTGGACTACATTAGAAATACTCGCGTTATCGACTTGTGAAGTTTCTTATTATTGACGGGCTCATTGCATGTTACTAAAAAATAGTACATAACACATAGTAGTAAATTGTACGTAGTGGTACCTAGTAGTACATAGTAGTACATAGTAGTCCACAGTATATACCAGAGGAACTGTTAATCATTGAGTCATTCGTTCAGAGACACTTAGAGTACAATGATCAAGTCGAGGGGTTGTCCCTCTTTTCTGAACATAGCAGGAAAAAGACAAAGGAATGAGAAGGGCAAGCTGATAGTCAATCCTACTGTAACATGGAGCAACCAATGCTGGTCAGGGATCTTCCGGCCAAACAGAAGGATGCTTGAGTGTATAAATGATGTATTTTACTATTCTGGGGGAATGATAACTGGATTGATGCTCCCCAAAATGGATATGGAGCCGAGGCCATAAGGATGCAAGGCATAAGGCCCTCGGGCAGATGGAAAAATGGTCTGCGCCCGCTGCAAATGACCTGCGTCCGGTTGTAACTGTCTGCGCCCGCCCTAAGTGAAGGGGCCCCTGGAAATTAGCCGAGGCCTTAGAAAAGAGGCCAACATGGGTAGGCTATGGCCCCGTAGGTTGTTTGCTACGTAGCATCTGCAACCAACCAGTAGTCTCGATCGATTGTAGATGCTGGAACCCAGAAAGATGTTGAGGCCCAGGACACTTACATTTGAGCCCCAGGCACATTCTGGAAGGGCCCTAGGCACAGCTACGGGGACAAAGGCCAAGCAGTCTGGAAGTTGCCTCGCCCAGCCATTGTCTGCACGAAAGGAAGTGAGAGAAGCCACTTCCTGATTCATTCCTCTGGCTGGCTGGCGACAGCGCTGCTGGATCGCACGCTCATGTGCACATGCGCTGAAAGCAGGCCGGGGTGCAAGCGAAAGCACTGGTGGGGCGCATGCGAAGATGCCTACGCGCAGCGGGGCTCAGCGGCGGCCGTAGTTGGGTTCACGCCTGTGAAGCCGGAAGGGGTTCATGCGGTAGTCCTTGGGATAGGGTGCTGGGGTGTGAGCAGGTCATGAGCTGTATGTTTGTTTGTTTGTGTGTGTGTGTGTTTTTGTGTGTTTGTGTGTTTTTTTGTGTGTTTTTGTGTGTGTTTTTTTGTGTGTTTTTGTGTGTTTTTTTGTGTGT